ATATATATATATATATATAGTTATGCATATTATAAGCGTTATTTATATCCGATTTCGTAAGCAAACACGTACCGGCATGTAAAATGTGTGTGTGTATATATATAATGTTTTCTTGTTTGGATTGTAATTATGGACAAAAATAAGGGGGTTCATGGAGATAATCCAAAAATTGTTCCTCTTGGTTAAAGCCTTCAAACTATCAAAAAATTGAGAAATTTGTCCCATCCCACCTACCCACCCACTATATACTTTACAACACATACCCAAATTACAAAAATAAAAATGAAAATGAAAATAAAAATAAAAATAAAAATAAAAATAAATAAAAAATGAAAATTATACAGACCTCAATTGATCAAAGTCATTAAACTAAATCAGCCCCAAAACCCAGAGATTCTTCCTCCTTGTTTTCAGCTTTAATTAACTTGTACTCTTCTTCCTTGATTTCTTCAACATTATTTACAGTAACGTCGCCTCCGCCGCCGCCGCCACCACCGTCTGTTAGTTCCTTCGCTCTTTCTGCTTGGAACTCCCAGTCCGTCCGACCCAAAACCACCAACATCGTCACCACGCACGACATCTGGGCCGCCAGCATGCCCATCCATAAACCTTCGAAATCAAAACCCATGAAGAATCCTAAACCCACCGCCACCGGCATACCCACCAGATAAAAGCATCCCAGGTTGATATTCGCTCCGATTTTGGGTCTCGCCGTCCCTCGCAAGACCCCGCACCCCGTCGTCTGTGGACAATTTCCCAGTTCGCAAAGTCCGATGATAGGAAGAACTAATGACGTTAATGCTATGATCTCTTTATCTTGAGTGAACATTGTCGCCCATAAGTTCCTCACGCTGGCGGCGAAGAACAGAGCCGAAAATCCCAAGAAAAAGCTACAAGACAGCCCGACAATGGCGGCCAACTTCGCTTTTCCGGGTCGACCCGCACCCAACTCGTTACCTACGCGAGTTGACACACTGAAGCTGAGAGAAGATGGGAATATGTAGATTAATGCCGTGGTTTGAATCAAAATCCCCATTGAAGCCACGGTGGCTCTAGGGTTTACCAGTAAACCACACAGCAAGATCATGATCTCGTACCACCACCATTCGAGACAAACCGAGATGCAACTTGGAACTGCCAAATTCAAAAGTGATTTCCATCCTTTGAGACATTCTCTCGAGATTCCTCCCCAAGTTTTCTTGTACACCCCAGAAACAAGTATGTAAACAACCAATGAAGCCACGAGGTTAAAATTCGTCCATACACTGCTAAGCGCGACGCCTTTGATTCCTAAATTAAGCTTGGTTACGAGATAATAATTGATGGGTATATGAAGAATGATGGAAAGAGATGCACAGAATGTAAGAGGAAGAGTTATGGATTGAGAACGAAGGTAAATGCGTAATGGGTGTAATAAAGATTGAGCCAGAAGATCAGGGAGAGAGTACAAAAGATAAGTTTGAGCCTGTTGTGCAATTTCTTGATCTTGGCCACAAAAAAGCAAGATACTTTTCATGTTAAGCCACAAAAGGGCAATAGGGAACGAAACAAGAAGCAATAAAAGAACAGTTCTTTGTAAACAGAGACCAAGAAGGGTATGTCGTTTGGCCCCAAAAGCTTGCCCACAAATGGGTTCCATTCCCATGGCTAAACCAGATAACACAGAGTATCCTGTGATGTTGGCGAATCCAACAGCCAAAGAGCCACCTGCAAGTGCTAACTCACCAAGATGGCCCAAGAACAACATGGAGACCATTGATCGAGAGTAGAGCAATAGACCAGTAAGGATCATGGGGATTGCGATTCTGGAAATGGAAATGGCTTCATGGAAAGCCAATGAAAGATGGGTAGAACTAGTTTTGTTGGTTTTAAATTGATGATGATGATGATCAACAGTTGGTGTTATAATCTTTTGGGATTTCTTGTTGGTTTGAGGGACAAGAAAAGGATCGAAGATATCTGGGTGTTGTTGTTGGGTTGAATTAGAGTTGCAACAGGAAGGGGATGAAGTTTGCTGGCACATTTTTGATACCTCTGTTTTTGCTTCTTTTTACCGTGAGTTCGAGAGAGAAAGGGGGGGAGTTTTTGGGGGGTTTAAGAGGATGCATTCGTGGTGTCTATTTAAAGATTTTGAAGGACGGCTTCCATCCCCTTTTTTGAAAAAAAAAGAAAAAAGAAAAAGAAAAATAAAAATTGATTAGGCATTTCAGATTTGCATTTTGTTGACAAAAAAAGTGTCGTTTTTTGACCGGCTTCAACAGTACACTGCTACAACTACTCGTGTTTTTTCCGTATTTCTTTCTACAAACCAAATATTAATATATAATTTATATTTTACCATCAATTTTTATTTTTACATGCTTTATATATATATATATATTTATTATTTGGATTTAATACATAAATTAAGTCAGACTTTGACTGTATATTAAATATTTTTATTTTTCATAAATAAATTAATTTTTTTTTTAAATATATAATATTTATGTACTGGTTTGTTTAAAGTTACGTAAGGTAAATAAAACAAACGAAAGTTGTAGTTGCATTCTTACGAAATTCCAATTGGTTGTGTGAAAAACCTAAATGACTGTATTTATCTTTATGCAACAATCGTTCACACACCTCTGTTAACAAATATTGATCCACCACGTATGATTGCAGCTTGATATGATGGTGTTAAGATAAGAAAATTTGAAACTCTTGCACTATTTGACAAATAAATGTATTTATTACACTATAATTAGAAGCAAGACAAAACGCATGTATTTTGCTCTTTTTGTAATAGAAAACACGTAATGATCAATCAAATAATAAAATGATAGAGTACCAATCGAATAATCAAACCACATGCATTTAATTGGCATCCAATATTTAAGGATTGACTAAAAAAATTAATCTTGCTATTATAAGATTGGATTTTATAAAGATGCCCTTCCGCAGTTGGTTGAGCCGGTTGATTTGAGTCAGTATTTCCCTCATTCAAATTGTCTTCCTAATCATATTCCTCCGGATTGACTCAATGTCACAATTTCCGCAATATATTGCGAACCTAGTTGAAAACCAAAAATTCAACACAAATATGTAATTGCGACGGCTAGGTCTGCAATTGTAACGATAAACTGGTTGAATTTGACATTTTTTTTTGTTTTTTGTGGACCTATGTATTGTGGATGTAGTGACATTTGGATCAACTCATGAGAGAAATGGTTATGAAGCCAATTTAAATAAAAGAAATGGTCATTTGAGCTAATTTCTTCAATTAATTTAAAACAATCAAGCAAATTAAAATTTATAAATAGTATAATTCATACTGACATAACACATTAAAATATAACGAGATTTGTTTTGAGTTTATATTTTATGTGAAAATTATGTTTTTTCCTTAATTAATATATCATGAATTCCATTTTTATGTAATCTAAAATTCTTATATAACCTGACATTTATATTATCAATTGCTACAAAAACTATTATTTATGCGTTAAAATGAATGTAAAATAAAGGGAAATAATTGTTTATAACACTAATTAATTAAGGATTATTAGATTGAATATGAAATAATAAAACAAAATTTTGTTTTATTTTAAGGTATTAATGATAGATAAAGAATAAAGGGATGGATGAATGAATAAGACAAGTGGATAGTATTAAGTTAACAATATGTAGTTGTTAGTTATGGATAAGTGAAATGCTTAATGGCCCAATTGCATGCTTCTTCTTAATACTACAAAAATGAAGATCGTGTTTTTGGCCGACATATTTTTCCACGTTTTCTCGCGACGGACGGACGGCCACCCCACCCGCTCCAAAACAACCGCCGCTTTCTTTCTTTCTTCTTATTATTATTATTATTATTATTATTATTATTATTATTATTATTATTATTATTATTATTATTATTATTGTATTCTTTTTCTTTTGTTTTAATATGTATCACATTACAAAATGTAAAGATGTATCACGTTGGTTCTTATCAAGTATTTAGATTACGATACGGATGAATGGATAGATGTAACTAGATTGAATTCATTCGTCCCAAATCTAACAACCTAAGTAAGGGGTTGTTTACCGAACGCTTAACTGGATAAGATTTTAGTCCACCAAAACTATATCGTATTCAACAATTTACCCAGTATGCGCTAATTGTGGTAAGAATCGTCTCTCTCATTTACCGAGTAAGACTCTCGATATTTGCTTTCATTCTTACCGGGTAAGATTCTTGGTCCTTACCATATTAATCTAAATATCTAATAAGATAATGTGACTTAGCAAACGCTTACTTAGGTAAACTTTTGGTAAATGGCCCCTAACTCGTCCATACCTCCATGGTCAACAGTTACTTCTCAATTACCACTTGTATTAGATTACTAATGAATGGTTGTATTATATAAAAATCATTAATTTGAATGCTTGTATAATAATCCGTCCTCTTTGATGATTTGGATATTTGATGATTTTTTTTATATAGAGGGGGGAGGTCTCTCCTATCAAGAGAAAAAAAAACCAAAAACCCTAAAACGCTAAAACAAATAAGCACTCAGGTGGGGGCGAACCACATCCACCAGACAAGAAACCAAGGCTCCCAAAGATAAAGAAAAGAAGAAAAGACACAGAGAGAGAGAGAAGAGAGGAACCAACCACTAGGGGAGGTTCCAGGCAAGCCGAACCCATATAACATTCAATGAAGGCTTAAAGGTTAGGCTTCGAAGTTTTGACCCGATATCATCAGTAATATTCTTGATCACCATATCATGAGATCTTCTCTTATTCTTGAAGATACAGTCACTTCTTTTCTGCCAAAGATGGTAGACGGTACCAACAAGCACTAATCTGTAAATGATAGATCAAAAAAGTTGGTATCGAGTATAGTTGGTTGGTACATTATATAAAATTTTATATACCAATTATTATTGGTTGGTACGTGGTATATGAAAAAAAACATGGTATCTAAAACAGTCTTTAATTAAAATTTTAAGTCAAAATTACTAAAATTACAGTTTCTTAATTCATCCGTTAATTTGTTAACGTAAAAAAGTAAAAAAAACTGAAGTTGTATGTGATAGGATGGTTTTTGTAAGATATTTAATAAGTAGAAAGCGATAAAAGAAAAAGGGAAAGTGAAATGGCCGTCCATTTTAATTGTGAGGGTGGGTTGGCATTAAAGAGATGTATATATATATGTATGTATATATATGTCGGTAGGGACAAACAAAAACCCACATTTAATTTACATAAAAACACCCAAATATTCACATTTTTCTATTGTCTGTTTCCAGTTGGACGTTAGGAAACACACCATATACTAACCGCCACCATTTCATTTTTTGGATATTTTCCTTTTTTTTTTAATTATTCATTTTAACTTTTTCTTTTTTCTCTTAAAAAACAAAACATTTTACTAACTTATCGTAGATTTAAAACGAAAAAAAAAAAAACTATAAATTCAAGCGGTTTCTGTTCACATTTTGATCGTATTTTGGTTTTGTTTTTCTGTCTGTCTTACTTGAGGATTGTTTTTGTTTGACGTTTGATTCTTCAATTTCTTTTGAGGTTTCCACGTAAGCTTTAATTTTTATAACGTCGATTTTTATTTGGATTACTGTGGCGTGAGTGATTGCCAGACAAAACATCATCTGGCTAAAGTATTTCAAAAGCTAAGAAATATCTGATTAAGTGGGAAAAAGACTTCGTCAATCAGAAAATTGGTCTACAACGACAAAATCAAATCTTGAAACTAATTAATTGAAAAGTCTTTTACGCTTCGGAACTTTGTGCTAACTATTCCAAATTGATACGAATTTCCCGCATCTAGAAACATGAATTTGATATGCTTGGAACCTTACCAGATTAATTAATGTAATGCATATGCATCGTACAAGCTCGCCACCATGCTATGCTATTCTAATTATCAAGTTTCTATCCATAAAAAAACAGGTATTACGTAATCTTATTTGGGCATTCAGCTATTTCGACCACAGTTTATTCGATCAAAATAGGAATCAAGTTAAAGTACGTTACTTTTTCATGCAATTTGCCCTTCATATTAATATAACCCCACAACTAATTAAAACCAAAGTTATGTTTTATAAATAAATAAATAAAAGACGGTGATGAATACAAACATAAAAACATAATGGTGGATTAATGCATAATTCTAGAAAGAAAATAAAAGAGTCTGTATTCCACAGACAAACCAAAATAAATCACTATCAAAGTCAATAGATGAGGAAAATAATGGCCGACTTAATTGTTGTAGACGCGTATCATCACCGTTAGTGGGTTTTTGACTTTTTGGTCAAAGGGTTTGAAGAGTCAATTCAACAAATACTTGGGGTTCTAACTATGAACTTAAAGGTCAATGTCACACCTCTATTTTAATCACTAAAACTTTGGATACTTGCTTTATCAATAATATTTCACAATTAATCAAATCCTGTTAAACCATTTTATATATCACACTATAAAAATCGAAGATAAACACAGATATATCATATGTATCTGATTATATTCAGTAGTATAATAATCAACATATATGAATTTACAAGATTAAAACCATAATAATTAATCTCATAATTTTGGTATTTAATTTCCATTTTTTTTTCTAATTAATTTGTTGGGGGGCATGACACATATATAGTGTATGGACCCACACTCTTTGTTATAATTATATAGTATTTATGTTTGCAAATGGTTTTGGTGAGTCGCAATATCATTCTATAAGTGGAATTTATAATCTCTCTCACATCCTTTACACCTTTCCATACTTGGGATTCCCATCATTTACCTGCATTTCCATTATATATATATATATATATATATATATATATATATATATATATATATATATATATATAACGTGTTTGTTAATACTCGTTTATCAAATGGTTTTTACGTTATTCAAATTTCATCGTTATAGATTCTTATTGTAATATAAGATTACATGATTTATTTCACGTTTAAATGCTAAAAGACTGTAACTTTTGTGATGATCTTAATAAGAAGACAAAGATGATGGCATGGGAATGGGAATGGTGTTATGTGCACATGACAAAGAAAATGGCATGAAATATGCAATTTGGGGGGAATATGGCATGGGATTTACCTTTCATGTTAAAAATATTGACATGAGTTCGTTTGTTTACTTTTTGTTAACACGATGTGCGTAACAAAAGGTTTCAAGATTTTAAATTCGTAATAAGAAAAAGGGAATTAGAAATGAGTATAGAATACGTCAACAAAAGTTCTAGATGAAAATACCACGTCAAACACTAAATGCCGTATAAAGGTGGCTCCATTTATCTTTTAAGATTCGGGTCTTTTTTAGCATGGGGACCTTGTGTGAACCCAAGACTCCATGGTCTACAAGAAGCATGCAAAGGTTTTTGTATTCAAATTAAAGACTTTCCCATCCACTCTCTCGAACAAAAATCTTGTTTGAACTCCAACTATAAATTCTTTCAACAACCCACGATATATACAAAAGTAAAAAAGAAAAAAAAAAACCAGTTGTTTTCTGCTATACGACCTGTACAGATAGACAAAAACTATAGATTTCCATCTCTTTGATTTTGAAAACAAAGGGTATTAAGAGGGGAACGTACAGATGTGGTCGTTAACCAACAAACGTCTTGATCATGCATGACAACGATCTAACAAGGTATTTTTAAGTGAAAGTGACGAAACTAATGATGATTCTAATTGACTAGTAATGTGAAAATGCACGTTAGTTAGCATCGTTTGATTAATTAACAATTAAACGAATTGTATTCATTTTCAATTATATTGGTTGAAAAGCATTAATACAAGCTCCTTTTCAACTCATAATCGTTTTTACAAGATTCTCATACTACCCAACTTTAGTTCAAACCTAGTTATTAATTAATTATCACCGATTCTAATTTGTTTTAAAACCAAAATACCAACTTTCTTTCTCCTATATATTTTGCTTTTACTGCTATTCTATGGAATCAGTACTTTTAACCGAAAGTAAAGCAAAGCGTATTCTTTAAGCGATGATATTCATGGCCGAAACTTTATATAAAATAAGACAACAAGCATGAGTGTTGTATGTTTCTTGACCGATAAACAGATAAATCAAAGTTAAAAATATCAGCATAAAATACAGTTCAGATTATTTGACCAACCAAATTTCGTATGTTGTTTGAATAATAATTAAGAACATAATCTTAGTTAATTAATTAGTGAAATGATTCATGGTCCAAGAGAGAGAGAGAGAGAGAGCATGTTTTCAAAGACAACCTTCTTTTTGGTGTTATAGTCTTTGATTAATTAATGTATGTGTTTAGGATCTTGAAATTTGTCCATTTCAATTAAGCCATTTTCATTACTTTGTCTTGGTTACACACTACAAAGCTTATTAATCCTCGTTCAGATCTTGGATTTCATGTCCGTATAATTTATTATTATAATCCCACGAACGAATTGTCTTAATTTTTGACGTATACCATATTGTCTTGTAAAGAAAACATCAATTTCATTGTTTACATTGAATGCGGAAGCTGAAAATTACTCCATTTGTCACATAATAATGATCGGTCGAATTTTGTTTTTATTATAAAAAGCATATCAATACTATGAAAAAATATTCTGATTAACATGGATATCCAATCCGCTATGCGAGCCGACTAATCCCAGGGTGACCACCTGCTTTGCAGAGCCCGGAGTCACCGCATTTGAACCTCCTGGTCACAAGGGGTTTTTTTATTTCTCATTAGATTTGAACTTGAGACCTCCTGGTACTTTTGACCATTAGGGCCAAACTCCAATAAATCCATATATTGCACAATAAATTAGAATTTTGATTTGTTTATTTCTTAAATAAATCCATAATAAGTTTTTGAATACTAATAACATTTTTTCATAAATTCTGTTATTATAATATTAATTACAATAAAAAAATATTTTCAATAGCTAAATAATAACACTCATTTTTATGAAGTCATTATATCAATTATGATTGTTCCTCAATTTTATCATGTATTTTATGACAGTTATACCATAAAAAATTAGAAAATAATACGAAAAAGACAAATAACTTGTAACCACAAAATATTCGGGCGATTTTAAAAAATATCGTACCCGCATCTTCTAGAAAACGTCAATTTACCATCGAACGTTGTTGATGCAAGATGGCAATGCCGTATAAAGACGTTCATGAAAGGTTTTAGACAACTTATAACAATATAAATTCTAACACATTAAAACGGAGATTATACCAACACCAATGTGTAAAATGAATTAAAAAGGAGATTGTACCACCATCGATGTGTATAACTTTTTTTCAACAAATAATGATGTAATTTTATTTATGTTAGTTTGTATTTTTATAATGTAATATATTTTATTGTATTGTAATAAAAATTATATTTTATATTTTTTTAATATTTATTAATATATTAATGTTAAATTTAAAAAAAATCAAATATAACGTTAACTTTCTAATTTGATAAAAAATATTGATATTAATTAATAATCAAATATATTATTATTATTTTTACCAAAATCTCATTTTAAAAATTATTCATACTTCTTTTATAAACATATACTTTACAAAAACACAAAAAAACATGATGTGATATAAAGTAATTCTTCTAAGGTTTTTTTGTTAGGGATGGAAACGGGACGGACAGTGGACGAGTAATGCATCCCCCCGTCCCCGACTTGATTAATCCTTGACAGGTTCACGGGGAAGGAATCGCGGCAGGCTCAAGTAACTCGTCAGGTATTTGTTTAGTAAAAACGATCTATTTCAAAATATAAATTGTAATTAATTATCACTATATTAATCACCAATATTGAAAAATAAACGTATACATATATTAAATTAAAATAAAATAAAATAAAAATCGGGGTTGTATTAGGGGTGGATAATGTCATCCCCGACTCCGCCCAACCCCGCTTTAGGTATGAAAATAAATCCCCGTCCCCAAGCCGTTACCCATAAAACCAGAGAATCCCCGCCCTGTTAGGGTCGGTACCATGGGTAAAATTTCCATCTCTATTTTTCGTTGAGGTTTTTTCATAATTTTTTCATTTCACCTCATCACCAACTCGTCAACTTAAAAATCTCCACATATCTTCATTATGACAAAACACCTCTCAAATTTTTTCATAGTTTTTTTTAAAGTTCAAGGTCCCACCATTTTAACTTTATATCGTTTATATTCTTATGTTAAAATTTTTTATTTTAGCTTCGAGGTCCCAACCGATAATCTTACTTGTTAAGAGTGATGACAAGAATGAAATGTCTTACCCAATAAGTGATAGTAAATGAGGATGACGACTCTTACCAGGTAAATGAGGATGACGACTTTTACCAGATAAATGAGGATGTCAACTCTTACCAGGTAAATCAGAATAGCGACTCTTACCGTTGTGATACCGTTTTAATAGACCACAATTTTACCGTTTTAAAGTATGATGTATGGAATAGAGGACAAAGTGGAGTGTTGGATTATTTCTATTGATCGGTCATGTCATATAGGCCTGAATTGGACATCCAATTGCTTCGAGTTGAATTATCTGCAGAGATCACTTTGTCCTTTGTTGATTTACTGCATGATGATTTTATTGAGAACCGTACATGAGATTTTCACCACATACGGCTCCTCGTTCAATTCTTTCGAAGTTATTGGATCCTTTGCCGCTTTCGAGAATCCCCTCCCCAAACCCATGGAAATCCCCCTTTATGAAAGAAAAAAGACATTAGAGTGTTACCTCTTACAGGTACACGCTCATCGGGTAAGCATTTGGATAAACAACCCATAACTGATTTCTTTGGATCAACTGAAAGCACTGAAAATAAAATTGATATTGATGTACGTAAATGGATACCGTGGGTTCGGAGTTCATTTAATTAACATGATGAATCATGAGTTTAGGGCCTTTTTTGAGGCATGCATGATGGGTTTTTAGAAACATATATACGATACCGGCTCATTTATAGATTATACAAACAGCGCCATGTATAGCACCATGTACGACACATTTTATCATCAATTGTTGTTGTCCCATGATGCCAAAACCTTTGAAGCTGACAATCTGAATGTGGTCCAGTTCTTAAGGTTAATAAGGGGACATGAACGATGGAGGTGCTTCGGTTTCTTGATCATTGTTCAATGTTACAATAATGAGACAAAATAGCGTGGTAAAGGGCCGATTTGGCATGTGAATTGCCAAACGAGGTTCCAATTTGAGTACGAAACGTGTCTTACAAATGACAAAAACCAGTACGTACCAGAAGCTCACGATCTTGTGTCCCATCATCTTCAAGATTACTGTCTACAAAGGACTGCTGCATGTGTGTCAACCCGTCATTGCTCAAATTCACACCCCAAAATTTATCCGTACTCGCTTTTCCTTTCCACCAATCACACACCGTCTCTATTCCCTACTTGCCTTGATCTTTATAACTGTCAGTATAGCAAGTCATCAATGTGAAATGATTCAGGCCTCAGTAACTAGTCCTTGGTCCAACAGTACCAAAGTTAACGGTACAGTTCAACCTCTATGAAGGTAAGGTTCAAACCTCAAGTAAGAAGTGTACCTGAGTATTTGCTGTATATAAAAATTTTATACTACTTGGAACATACTATTCTTTCAAATACGGGTGATAAGAAATTAAACCATACGGGTGGGTCGTCTTCCTCTTCAAGTGTCACGAAAGTGCAAAGCCAAGCCACCAGTGACCATGATACGAGATAAGATTTATGTGGATGTGTATACATAAAAAAAATCAAGGTCTGAAATTGTAAAGTGACACATTTGCTGCTAAATACAATGGCAATGATGAAGACACGAAAAGGAAGATCATTGGGTGGTAGGTACATTGCAGAAGGTCATTTTCTTTTGTGGGGGGAGCCTTGTAATTTAAATGATGGATTAATTACTTAGATTTTGTCAATGATTAGAACATGGGTGTCACTAGCGTGTATTTAATTATAGGTAACAATAACCATCCAAAGGGTCTAATCTGTCTTTCCCTTCCATGGGGGGCATTCAAACAAAAATTCACCCTATACAAAAGACAACCATGTGAAGGCTAGAAACAAGTGTGACCAGAAAATCAGCAACAAATCTTGCGTAAGTCATGTCATGGAACAAGAAACCTTTATTCTGTTGCCTCTGCTTCGGTGTTGCATGAAATCTAGATGGCAACATGTCCGAAAATTGAGGGCTAGAAATTAAAGGCAACCAGGGGTTGTATAGAGAAATCTATGTCATCCTCGCTAATTGGATTTCTCCATAAAATCCCAAGTTTAGAATTTATATAAGATCTGCCATTTAACCACTGGTAAAGCAAAGCATTTTGTTTCTTGACCTTAAGATACCAAGATTATATGATATCTTCTCATACCCAAGTAGTTATCGACTTATTTCAAATATTTTTAGCATACGTGGATGTCAAAAACGAAAACTTGATTCATTTCCCAGCAATGTTTATCAATCACCAAGATTTACATAAAACTTGCCATTTATGCTCGCCAAGTTAGCTACCTTGCCCTATGCATACTAGGCTCTTTTGCTTATACTTTCCAAAGTAAATAACATAATTCTTTTGTTGGTTTGTTCCTAACAGAGAAGTATAATGTCAGGCAATCCAAAAACTAGATGGTATTTTGCTCCTGATGAGGGCGATAATATTCATCATTAAATACCAGATTTTGGTTGTGGGAGAACATCTGTTATACGTGCTTCTTGAGGGTCAAATAAGACATTTGATTCCTATCACTCTTTGATGATGGATAATATTAAAAGAATATATAGATAAATTACTTCTGACACACAAGTCAAGTAATAATTCTATCCAAGCAATGAAAAAAGAATATATCTATACTATATTATAATGCATTTGGCTAAAACTCTTAAAAACTCTTAATCTATACTATATTATAATGCATTTGGCTAAAACTCTTAAAAACTCTTAAACTCTTAAAACTCTTAAACCCGTTCATCCCTATCCGATTTCATCCCATAACTGAATTCGTATAA